GAGTAAATAAGTCAAGAAATGAGATGGTAGTCGAGGGACTTATTTTCTTCACGAAATAGCATTTTAAATCCCGATGGGAACTTTCCATGATTTTTCCAGACAGCAAAGTTAAAAACTCAACTGTTTTAATCATCCGATTATCATGTAATGTAATGAGCCATGCGCACATACCCACTCCAGCAAAGAGTCGATGCTATTATGCGTATTAACCTCTAGCACTGCACTACATGTTAATAGGCAGCATTTGCTCAAAAGGAATAGTCAATACACACATAATACACAAATGCACTTATCATGCCGATGCGGCTGTAAGCAAAGTTTGACAGTAGACAAACAATTTGAATTTCTAAATTGTTCTTCCTAACAAAATAACATCGGCAAGTTGAACAAATTGTATTCTAGTATTACTGCTATTTAGGTGTCATCAATTGTCACTAAAGTACCGATTTTTAGTGAAAGAGTTTTGTACAGTGGTGTTTGAAATGTTGAGTATCAATAGCGCAGCTTTTAATACACAGCCAGGATAGTAATGCAGCTATGTAGACTCTATGCACTAACTCTTTCTCCAAGAAGCTCCGACGCCGTTCAGCATCGGAGCTTCCTGAAGTTATGTGTGCACATAGCCTAGCCTACCCAATTACTATACCAGTCAATGCAATGAGAGTTTCATCGGCCTGCACATGCGACATAGAGTCTACCGTACTTTTCGTTTTAATGCAAATAATCAATATTTTATTTCATTTTACATGCTTCAAAATCAATCAAACAAAGCTTAAATTCCTTACAGATATCAAAATGTTAAAATAACGCTTACCTCGGTGTCGCAGTCTAACAGATTATTTGAAATCTCGAAGTCACGTCATCAAGCAGTCAATTCGTTATTCAGTTTAAAACACGCGGCAAGCTAGCTCTGGATGGAGCGAGCGCGCCGCACCGGCCGTGCCGGGTACGATTCACTGACCTCTACAGTGGTACGATGATATACGGTGCGTCCGCAGTTGACCCCCCTCTCCCCACCATGTACGTACGCACTTTGTATACACGTGGTTGAATGGAGCATATAAATGACGTAGCGCGGTCGGACTGACTGGGCTTTGGGGGGGGGGGGGCACAAACATTATATGTGAGGGAAAGGGGTCACTACTTTCTTCAAATAATGTCACCTTATGTTTTCTATTTTTTTCCCTCAAAATTATTGGGGAGCACGTGCCTCCCCCCATCGCTACGCCACAGGAGTGCATCAGTTTGACATACCTCGACCCCCCCATGCGTATGCATGTGGCCTAATTTCGCCAGCTAGTATTTTTTAAGAAATATTTATTTGGACATTAAAAATAAGTTCAACAAAATACGTCTGAATAAAACGTTCTGTAAACGTTATATCCAAGAACGTTTAATTTGTAACGTCCACAAAACGTTTTCTGAACGTCTTCAAAAGACCTAGCTCCGCAGCGAATGTAAGGTCCCAACTTAGACGTTATATAAACGTTTTTTAAACGTTTAATATGGACGAAGACGTACGGAACCTGATAAGAACGTTCTGTAGACGTTTTAAAAACGTTTTGTGTTTGCTGGGATAGAGGATTTTTTTAAATGTTGGGGATCGGGGCAAAATGCAATGAATCATTGATAGGTTATTGCATTTTCTTTGTTTTGTTGTATTTGGGGGGGGGGGGGGGGCGGCGACGTACCCTAGCCCCCGCTGCGTATAGTCATGTTTCAGTAGCTAAGCAATGGCCTCATTACTGTGAGCCCCCATGATCAAAATCGTGTCGATGTGCTATATTAGTGCCCTTTTATGAGGCATTAATCCTCATTACTGTCAGTTATGACTTCAGGACGTAGGTCCCCTAGTTGATTAGCATAGTAGCACACACATGCTTTAGCAGTCTCGCAAAAATGAACACTAACAAATTATTATTCAATAAAATCTGAAAGTGTATACTATTATCTAGATCTATTAGGAATAACTCATTGTCAAAATCATTCCATAAATTGGGGTAAAAATAATCATTCCACCATGATGACCAACAGTGTACTAGGGAAAAATTGGGTCGTCATGATAAGAGCGAGCGAAGATGAAGAAACTTTTTGGTGGAAACCCATTAGCTTAACTCTTTATGCGCCAGTTAAAAAACCCCCCTGTGCCACATTCTTTTAGGGTCACACATTTCGAGGGAATCTTTATTGACTCTGCTGAATCAAGAGGCTATAACTCTTCACTGGATGATCATGATGAAAAATATTGTGCAGCAAAGTTGTAGACCGGAAAACGTGCTTTTCGATGAACCGTCATTTGTTATATTTTGAATTATCATTTTTATAATAATCATAATTATATAATGTTTAATTTTTCTTATTTACGGCAGTTTTTTATCCCTCTAGAATTTCTTATTTAGCAATGATAAGACATCTTCAAATCGAATCTATTAGAAAGGTGGACTTCTTACCTTTCTTTACATACCTTGCTCAAGTATTCTAACAATTCAGAAGGTTAGTATTTAGGTTGTTGAAGAAAAGAAGTTCAATAGGGAGAGACTTGAAAGTACCCCGCTCAGCCACCCTTGACAATGGGCTAATCTGCCCATTGAAATCCCTATTACCCCAGGTTATTGTCAATGTCCGGTTTAGCGGGGCATGAAAAGGGACGTCGTGGGGATGTTTTTCTTTGTTGTGCCATGATAAGTCAATAAGAAATAAGAGAATGTTATTGATTTTGCCCACTGGTATGAGCATGTAAAAATGGTATAGGCATAATATATTATATGTGATATACATGACATAATCAGCATCTTATTGAAATGTCTCATTATGAATGTTCACCGCATCTGTTCTCTCACCTTCTTTACCCCTCAATAAAATTGATTTCAAGTACATTTATCACAGCCATAGATATACAAAGAAAGAATGAATCAATCTTAAAATATAAACTATATTGCATTGTTTTCCATTTACTTTATTGTGAGAGAGCTTATTATCAGAAATGATTGACGAGTGGAGTATGCAATGAATAAAATATGGAGAACGGACGTGAGAGACATTATGAGAGAGAAATAGTGATATGAAATGAAAGGACTTTACTGTGAATAAAGATTATAAGAGAAAGAGATAAAGATGACGGCAAGACAGGATACATATTGATACGAAAATAACAATAATAATGAGATAGAGATGACGGAAAGAAAGAGAGTAAACACTGATAGCATAAGAATGAATAAAGATAATAAGAGAAAGATATAGAGATGACGGCAAGACATAGGGTACATATAGATAGGAAAATGATAATAATAATAAGATAGAGATGACGGAAAGAAAGAGAGTAAACACTGATAGCATAAGAATGAATAAAGATAATAAGAGAAAGATATAGAGATGACGGCAAGACATAGGGTACATATAGATAGGAAAATGATAATAATAAAAAGATAGAGATGACGGAAAGAAAGAGAGTAAACACTGATAGCACAAGAATGAATAAAGATAATAAGAGAAATATATAGAGATGACGGCAAGACATAGGATACATATTGATAGGAAAATAATAATAATAATAAGATAGAGATGACGGCAAGAAAGAGAGTAAACACTGATAGCATAAGAATGAATAAAGATAATAAGAGAAAGATATACAGATGACGGCAAGACATAGGGTACATATAGATAGGAAAATGATAATAATAATAAGATAGAGATGACGGCAAGAAAGAGAGTAAACACTGATAGCATAAGAATGAATAAAGATAATAAGAGAAAGATATAGAGATGACGGCAAGACATAGGGTACATAATTATAGATAGGAAAATGATAATAATAATAAGATAGAGATGACGGAAAGAAAGAGAGTAAACACTGATAGCATAAGAATGAATAAAGATAATAAGAGAAAGATATAGAGATGACGGCAAGACATAGGGTACATATAGATAGGAAAATGATAATAATAATGAGATAGAGATGACGGCAAGAAAGAGAGTATTACACTCATAGCATAATAATGAATAAAGATAATAAGAAAAAGATATACAGATGACGGCAAGACATAGGGTACATATAGATAGGAAAATGATAATAATAATAAGATAGAGATGACGGAAAGAAAGAGAGTAAACACTGATAGCATAAGAATGAATAAAGATAATAAAAGAAAGATATAAAGATGACGGCAAGACAGGATACATCTTTCTTTCATTAGTTTTATTCATTCTTATTCTATCACTGTCTACTCTCTTTCTTGCTGTCATCTCTAGCTCTTTCATTAATTTTTATTCATTCTTATTCTATCAGTCTACTCTCTTTCTTGCTGTCATCTCTATCTCTTTCTTTCATTATTTTTATTCATTCTTATTCTATCACTGTCTACTCTCTTTCTTGCTGTCATCTCTATCTCCTTCTTTCATTTTTTTTATTCATTCTTATTCTATCAGTCTACTCTCTTTCTTGCTGTCATCTCTAGCTCTTTCATTAATTTTTATTCATTCTTATTCTATCAGTCTACTCTCAGGGAACACTTTTATCACTAGAGTCTTCGTCACTGCTCGATTCGTCGGAATCAGAGTCCATGCTCCATGCTTCCATAGTAACAAGATCTCGAGCCTCCTCTACACTAAACACACGTTGACGTTTTCCAGCAGGTGCCATCGTAACATCAGTAAAAAAAATCCAAAGAAAACCGCTAAATACACGGTAATTTCGAATGTAACACTATGAAGAAAAACAGTTTACCGGAAAGTGTGCGATGTATACAATGTAAACAATAGTAAACGCAACGCGTGGCTACACACTGCGAGCGGTATTATGAATGTCTAATTGACTCGTATACATCTGTGCAAAAATGCGAAGTTGGCACGCCTACGTCCGTGCAAATCGGCGAACAAAGCAAACAAAGAGTTAAGCATAAGTACTATATAAAATAGTGGAATATTTTTCTTTTTTGTGTACTTGAAAAAAGTAAATTCGCCTAAAATTGAAATATATTTATCTAAAAAAAACCTTTCTATTTTCCAGTATTCTCCTAATTTAATTAATCTTATGACATCTTATGAAAAACTATTATCCTGACTGAATATGGCATCCATTCCTTTTAAAATAAAGAAGTACCAAATATACCAGAACGTGGATAATACACAGATGTATACGGACCTTGGAGTCGGCTGCCTTATTCGCAAGCACCGAGTAGAAGACATCATGCATAGGGATAGTAGTAGCGATCTTCACAGATCTCAGTGTTCGTGATGAGCACATGAGTTCAACCAGGTCCTCTGAAGCCGTCCGTCCACATGGCTTCTCAATTATCAGGTGATCCTACAATGTACATGAACACAAATAATATTGTGAGGCTAGAAACGTATATCATAAAAATAATACCATATTATCCTTATTAGTCACCTTAATAGAAACTGATTTTGTTTATATGTTTTTTTTTCCTTCCATTTCCCCTTTGGTTTTTATTCTGCTTTCAAAAATCTATATTATACGAAGAACATCAAATAACTTTAAAATAACACTTTGCATTTGAAAGGAATTATTCTGATCCTACCAAATGTAAACTTTTCTGGGTTATGTACGTTATCTCATCATAATTTAAGTTAGCGTTTTATCATACTGGTTTGAACAGAATGCACGTGCAAATCCCAGTGGAATTCGTGATATTAAAAGTGTTATATTATTAAACAACATTTCATTGCAAATACACGCAAGATCGGTTGTGCTACAACCACAATAAATCACAACTACTACTAACAGACATAAGTCCTAATACTCATTAACTCTTGTAGATAATAATAGTAAAACGAAATTCGTGTAGGCCTACATTGCAATTTTCAGATTAAAAATGATAATCAGAGTTGCACCCACACTAGATCCATATAAGTGGATTTAAACATGCATCATGATTAAAGAAAATTGATTCTACCAAGCTTCTTTCCAACATTTGGGTGAAGAAAAGTTTTTTAATACAGAACGTGTCGCGCATCGTTAGTATACAGGGTGTATGTATACAGTTAAGTGTTGAAACCAAACGACGTTATCCTAAGTCTAACTTGCAAAACTTCGACGTTATTTTCCTTACCACTTCACGATGATTCATGATGAAGATATGCCCTGATACTGTGTGTGCCTGCATGCTCTCGGTGATCGTCAGTGTCTTGCTAGACTCAGAGGAGAGGTGATCCGCCACTGCTTTGGCCACTGCCTGGTCTTGGCTCTCGTATGCTACATCTACGACGAAGTCATCATCATGTCTACGCTTTCTTTTTCCTGCTTTGAGATGAGATACGATATCCAATCCGATCTCCTTCTGCTGGGCCGAGGTGAAGTACAGTAGGTACCGGTATTCCCCTGCATCCTTCATGATTATCGCTATCAACCTGTCATACTCATTACAATGTGAGTTGAATAGAGATGCAAGATACATTCCTGATAGATATTCCTGGAAGAGCTTATGAGGGAAATGCACCGATTGAACTACTGTATTTGGATTAGTTCTTCTGTCTTTTCTTGGAAGAACTTTCTTTTCTCTGGTGAGCACACCAACTTTACAACCTACATCGATGGACTCTGGATAACTCTGAAACTCTTCTTCTGTGAATACTAACCGTCTCTCAAGAAGTCCCCTGAAGGCAATGTGGCCAATTTGAAGCAGATGATGACGAATATCTGAACGATTCTCTCTCAATATGCCTTCAACAATACATGATTGAAAGTGCTTCGATAGGTAATGATCAACCAAAAAGTCAATCATCTCATTGAAGAGCTGGGAAAATGTTTGCAGCTTGGACATTGCCTCTCGGCGCTTTCCATCAAACTCTTTCCACATGATGCATAGCATGGCTGTGTATATGGGGTAAGGGGCCATGTTCTCTCTGATCACATCGTTGTTCGATATGAATCGGTTCAGATCTTCAGAGGAAGCTGTGTCTGGATGAAAGTACTTGGTGATGTAGGAAGAGAGGTTTTCAGCAGAGAAACCTTCCAGAGCAATGAAAGCAAACCCCTTTCTGAGATCGGCATTCTTCCTAATCTCATCTGATCTCCATTGTCGCGATGTAATAAGTACTGTCCCTGACTTGAACAGCTTATCAAGAATAATCAGGGCGATTTGCTGAATGCAGTTAAGATCAACAGTAGACTCATCTAGGCCGTCCATGACAAGAAAGACATCATCAGAATTTGAAAGGATGTGCTTGTCTAGCTGCTTGGCAGTGACTGGATTTTTGTCAGAAAGATACGTTTTCACTATCTCTCCAACAGTCTTTTCCTTTGCCTCGCGAAAAAGGATGACAAGAACTAGTTTGAAATCTTGGTAACCTTTTCCGTGGATCCAGTCCCAAGCGATCTTGGCGCAGAAAGTGGTCTTCCCCGCACCACCTTCACCTTCCACCAACAAGCGTTTGGCACAGATTTTGTTGACTTTCGTCCTGAGGAGGTCGTCGTAGAGAAGCGGTATCTTGCGCGTTGTACCTTTGTCTTCTTCCATCAACGTTAGATTGGTGAAGATTCGGTCAAATTCAATTTGAAGCTCGCTGTTCAGTGGATCGGCTTGAATTTGACATAGATAAATTGTATAATAGCGTTTGATCTCTTCAGCAACCCGCTTGATTTCCTCCTCTGTCATTGAGGGTATGTCATCACCAACCTGACCTGTAATGAGATGGTTAAGAAAGTTGTCTCTAAAGTTATTATTGTTTAAACGTAAAACACTGTAAAAAAAAAAAAACAGCAGCTCCCCAGCCCCCCCCCCCCTACAAAAAAAAAATACATAAACCATGAACCACAAAAATGTAATATCAATATACGTAACTTCCCAAATCTCAATTTAAATTTGCGTGTGGATCATGATCTGTGGTTGACAAATTATCTATTTCCTAGATAGGGGCTCTCACAGTGATTAACGGATTGACATTGTACCCTGATGTCACTGCCCCAGGGAAGGGTTACTCCGTTGATGCTAAGATGCCAGGCCTTTTGGTTAATTGCATGGTGGGGTTTTAGGCCATCTTCTATGGAGCAAATCTTGCGGTATCAAACTGTTAAATGTGCATGGTCTTGTGCATTTTATAACTAAAGATGATAAAAACGATTTCTAGTTTCAAAAGCTACACTCCTGGATTGATATGCGTATAATTCATGAATTAATCAAATGCATCTTTCATAATAACGTTCTCTTTCCGTGCTTTCTGACAGAGATTCCTTCTTTGTAACTCTTTATCCAATATGAATATACATCTGAGGCTTTGGTTCCGTTAGCGCGTATTCTGGTGTTGAGATTAAATGTGCAATTTCCTTACACATTTAATCTGATCCTAACTTTAGTGGGGATACTAACGTGATACATCTCTCTCTCTCTCTCTCTCTCCCTCTCTCTCGCTATATATATATATATATATATATATATATATATATGTGTCAATGTATATTATATACATTGTACGCAGTATCCAGCAAAAGTGAGGACTCCTATATAGTAAATGTTCAATAATTCAATATTCCAAAACTCACTTTGCTGCAGTGCAAATTTTAAATGGAAGGCGCAATTTTACCTATAAAATTAGCACATAATAGCAATAATACTAATAATTAAAATGGGTTCTTGTATAGCGCTCATGTCTAACTTGACAAGCTCGAAGAGTATTGCCCCGTCTTTAACATGGCTGCCATTACATTGCTCGAGCGTTTTAAGGAGTTAATATACCCATATATCTCACTTTGGTCGAGTGTAGAAAAATGTACCTAAATTTTTATAGCTATACATGAACCCACCATCATCATTATTACCTTTTCGTACACTATCAGCAAGCTGTACCAGCTTAATGCTTTCTAACATGTCGACCAATGTCTCCCTCGCCTCGCTATCACGTACTGTCTTCCGCCATTCGTAAAGCATCTGATAGGTAGCATGCATGGAGTCGCCAAGCTTGTCTTTTTCAAATCGACTTAGTTGAGCCTCGGAGAATCCAAAAGCTAGTCCGACCTTCCTGAAGTCTGAGGGATCCATACCGTCGGCAATGAGATAAAGCTCGAGCTCGGTCAGACATCCAGGGCTAAATTATAGACATAAAAAAAAATGATTATTTTCATACAGTGCTGTATATATAATTGTGTAATTTTGTATTAAGAGAACTTTCATCTTGCTCCTTTGACTGATGAATACAGTGTTTTACGGCATTGAATTATAATAATTGATATCGTCACCTGTAATGCAAGTACTATTAAAAAAATGCAAAAATATTACGACATGTACCTTTCAAACATAACGAGAATACGCAAAACTTCTTCCCTTTTGATTTCATTCATCAAATCCAAAGATTAGTTTTACCTGCTAACTCAATGACCCGTATTTTACTAGTCAAGAATTGAAACCCGACGGTGGGTTGAAGGGTTTGTTCAGAATCGGGTTTAACAAAGAAAATTAGTCTAATTTAGTTGTCCTTCAATTAACGTAATCGTAGACTCGGATTCGGGTTCAACCGAATATGAAACAATGGATTTTAATGTTCCAAAGTTGTTCTTTCATGCTGCTTACTTATCATTTGGACCAGGGTTTCGTTCTACGTCACCGGATCTCAATAGGAGTATATTGGTCATGTGTGGACAGTCATTTCCTTTGATTGCATCTGCTTCACTGGTGGCTGTCCCTGATACGGGGATCGGATAAGTCGGTGATCCGTGATGCTCTGTTACTTCCTAAGAGCGAAGATAAAATTACGAATAGAAGACACACTTTGAACTCTGTAAACTATAAACAAGCCATACTGAGATATTATCCTAGTGCCACATTGTATTTCTGGCGGTTTTTTTAATCAATGGTTTCTAGATTATTTTAACATTTCTAATATACAAATAGCACTGGCAGGTGATAAATGATGAATGTTCATGAATTTATTGGACAAGGTGATTCATGATATTCCCTTGATTCCTTAATGAAATTGATGGACAGAAATCGATTTTCAAAATAATAATCAGACGTTATTTGTCAAAATACATTTAGAATCACGTGTGAATAAGTATTGTGTGAAAGGGTAAAGGACACTTTTACCATTGATTATAGTGCAACTATCGTTAAATATAAAAAAAATCCATAGCAAATTGAAAAAATCAAACTGTCTTTTATGAAACATCTTGTATAGCACCAATTTTTCAAGTTACCGTGTCCTATTAAAACAAAAAATTATGGAAGAAGAATTATATACATTTAAAAAAAAATATTTATATTTCTTCTATATTTTTTCTTCGTCTGTCTCATTTTTGTTATAATGGGATAGGGTTGCTCTGGGAAATACATATAAATATCAATCATACCCTGTTGGATGGTGTTGTTTGCTCGGTGCTTCTCGTTGTATCTTGCCTTGGTTTAGGTGGCAAGCCCGATGATAGGTCCTCTATCCCCGACGGTGAAGAGCTTGATGTCTCCTCCACGTCTGTTTGGATACGATCTGTTTCACCCGCGATGGCTACAGGTACATCTGAGTACGATTCTGATGTGACAACTTCAGGTAGTTCTATTATTTGAACGGGATTAGGGGGGTATTCATGTGACACTAGATTAATGGTTATGTATCTATTGTCCAATTCGTCTTCTACACAGGGTCGGGGAACTGGGTTCTGAATGTCAGTGTTATCGTGGACAGGGTTGGTCTCATTTGCTGTTGGAGAACCACTGTTTTCAGCACACGAAGACTCAGAGTGAGAGACATCGCTATGACCGGGTCTTTTTACATCACATGGGAATCCTCTCTCCGTTACAGTATCAAACTCTGGACCGTCACATGGTGACCGAGTCTGACAATTAGCATTACATCTGCTAATGCTGACGTCACATGAAGGCCCGGTTTGAGCGGTATTCAGGTTGACATTGTAAGGAGACGCAGGTCGACAATCCGTTTTCCCTTGAGAACTATTCGCATCAGGTGAAGAGCCAGTACGAGATGAGATGTTACACTCAGGATTGTCGTTTTCTTTGGGTGGCTCCGCATTCTTGCTTTTTTTAATTAAGTTGTTAAGTTTGCTCCAAAAGTAGTTGTAGTCATATTCTTTCCTCCGACGGCGCATGAACGTGCCGATCCTGACACGCCATTCACCAAGAGACACAGGCATGGTGACATAAGGATACTGTGTTGTTAAAGAGAAACAAATATCAATGCTGGGTAAATTCACGAAACAGTCAATATGACTTTGTATACCAAAATAGTATCTAATTTGCTAACGGATTTATCTTAACATGCCATGTAGGAAAAATGTATTCGTTTTAGATTACATAATTATAAGAGAACGTATAATGCATGGTGCTTGATTGCAAATTTGCACCGCTTTTTATATTCCAGAAGATGTTGGTACAATTTACCTCGAGGGAGCAAACCTGGACAAAATCCACCGTAAAAACTGCCCTTTGAAGAGGTCCTTTATGCCTAGGTCATATTTGCTCTACGGCTAGGATACGGCTGCCCTACGCCTCCGAAATTGAGAGTTACTTGCAGCGGCCGCAAAGAATCTGCGGCGTCCTCAGGGTCACCCTAGGGCTTATCCCTATCTCTACAGACCGGACGGGTCGCCGTGGGAGTTATAACTGTTTTCATTTCATTTCAAGGTTCACCGTAGCGATTAGACGCGCCGTAGCGATTAGAGGCGTAGAGCGGTTCCACGGCGACCGTACGTCGAGCGTACGGTAGCCTTACGTTTAATATACTCCAGGGATGGAGCGGTAGCATCAGTCTGGCGGCATGGTCGAAGTTTGGTCCCCCTTAGGCCACCTTGCGGACCCATTGCGGCTACATTGCGTCTACCTTAGTATTTGTCGACAAAGCTGCGGCCGCCGCAGGGAAGCCTTAAGGCGACCATGCGTGATCACTTCAAAGGCCGTACGGCAGTCGCAGATTCAAATTCAAGATACGCCGTTCGGCTACCCTAACAATGTGACCGCTACCGTATGTGACCGTGGGAAAGCTGCGGCGTTCCTATTATTGCTATTGGCTGTATATAATTAAGACCGCACGGCTGCCGTGGCAAATTTGACCTAGGCATTAGCAATAGTGTTATTTTTTTCTTTTTCTACGAGTTGGTTGTTCGCGTTCATAGTTGTCCCATTCGTTCAATATGCGGAATGTGAATCCAGGGAAAGCTTTTGAAAGTGTGGCTCAACAAATTGAAATCATAATACCGAACGTAAACAAAGAAGCGTCAAAGGTGACCATTAGTTGTAACGCTTTGATTCATGGCCAAATAAGGTTACATGAAAAGACTGTGTATGTTTTGCATTTTTCTCTCTCTCTCCTCTATCTTGTTCTGTTTCCCTTCCCCTCTCCTTTTTTTCTGCCCGCTCTCCTTCTCTTGCTCTGTCTCTGCACACACACACACACACACACACATATATATATATATATATCTACTCGTTCACCCTGTCCCTCTCTCCGTCTCCCTATCCCTCTATTGCTCTCCCTCCCTCTTCTTCTCCTGCTCTACTCCCCTGTCTCTGTCTCTCTCTCTTGATCTTGCTTCATTATCATTTCATTTACGTCTCATACTCGTTCACCCTCGTTTCATGACCGTTTAATCGATTTGTCTTTCATTTCCGCGTTTACGACGTAATAATTGTCCACATCCCCATCAAAACGACCCATATCACTTCCTACAATTGAAAGTTTGCTGTTCTTACCTTCGTATTTTTAAGTCCGAAAGAATGTTCACCCCCTCGATTGGCTATTCTTTGATGTTTAAACTTCGCTTAAAGGTACTATGTCCCGTTTGCAGGCCCAAAAAATGAAAAAGTTAAATTCCAACTGCATTTGAAAGATAATACTAATTTAGAAGTTCCCTAAAAAAGGTGGGGCTTGAAAATGTCTTCAAGTGGGAAAATAGTGACTATTAGTTGTCAAATCGACTTTAGGGCTATAGAGCCCAAAAGTAATAGTCTTGATTTTCAGACGATTATACCGAATGGTCATACGTTTTATGCTGCACAAAGATTCAATCAGTTTAATCTTGGCCATCACAATAAGTGGGTTATTGATGTAGACAAATGCTCATGTACCCTTTACAACTCTTTTCATGTATGTCATTAGCAAAGAAGAAAAAAAGCCAGTCAGTCACTCAATAGTGTCTGACAGTGAAGTTTAGCAAGTAAACGGGTTTCCTTGCATAATTTGAATATGAGGACACTGCTAACGTTTAAATTTCAGATAGGACATACATGACATATTCATAATTCCTGCAAAGTTCTACAGAATTTGAGGTTGGCTGCAAAAGGGACATAGTACCTTTAAAGAAGAACTATTCGATAATGTACTGGTAAATTGTGCAAATCAAGATGGCGTCTAACTGTATACCAGGCAAACTGAACCGCACCTGACACCACGAATGCCTTTACAAAGCCAACGATACTTGTCCCGATTGCTTGCATCTCGTGCAAAATAGGCAAATGAAGGGGCTTTCATCGAAAGGGTGCGGTGCGGTGCGGTGCGGCGCGGTGTGGTGTGCTCAACGCACCCATTCGATAAAAGAGGGGGGCCTTTTCTCGAAAGGGTGCGTTGAGAGCGGAGTACCGTTTTAACACACCCTTTCGATGAAAGCGGGGGGGCTTTTCTCGAAAGGGTGTGTCGACTAGTCTTTCGCATCAGTCGTTTAAAATGAGGATCTCGGACAGAAGGTAATAGTTGCCAATTTAAGTATATCGAAAATGTATTAAATAAACCTTCCCCCATTTCCCTCTTTCCTTCTTCTTTCTTTCCTTTTATATTTTCTTTCCCTTTCCTTTTCCCTTCTCTCTATCGCTCTCTCTCTCCTATTTATTTGTTGGCGGGGGGGGGGGGGGAGGAGGCAAAAGCCCTTTGCCCACGTTTCCCTCTTTCCTTCTTCTTCTTCTTTCTTTCCTTTTATCTTCTCTTTCCCTTTCCCTTCTCTCTCTCTGATTTATTTTTTGGCGGGGGGGGGGGGGGGCAAGAGTCCTTCGCCCCCCCGTTTCCCTCTTCTCTTCTTATTCTTCTTTCTTTCCTTTTATCTTCCCTTTCCCTTTTTTCCTTCTCTCTGTCTCCCCCATCAACATAGTAATAACGAAAGAGACCACTCTGTAATCAAGACCATTCCATTTTCGATATACTTAGATTGGCAACTATTACCTTCTGTCCGAGATCCTCATTTTAAACGACTGATGCGAAAGACTAGTCGACGCACCCTATCGAGAAAAGCCCCCCGCTTTTATCGAAAGGGTGTGTTAAAACGGTACTCCGCTCTCAACGCACCCTTTCGAGAAAAGGCCCCCCTCTTTTATCGAATGGGTGCGTTGAGCACACCACACCGCGCCGCACCGCACCGCACCCTTTCGATGAAAGCCAAATGAAGGGGACAAATATGAACCATTGTCACTGCATGAGGCAGATTTATGGGCAAAAGATAAGCCCCGCTGCACTTTGTAAAAAGATCGACGTGAAATAGGTGAATAATAGTTCAGCATTACACATAAGGAATGTATTGGCTTAATTCACAAGGCCAGTCAAAGCGAAGAGGGATGTGTGTAGGTGTGCGTGTTTGTGTGCTTGTGTGTGTGTGTGTGTGTGTCCTCTCCTCTCTCTCTCTCTTGCTCTGTTTCTATTCCCCTTTCATGTTCTGCCCTTTCTCCTTCTCTGCATCTCTCTCTTTCTATCTATCTTTACTCTTTCACCCTTTCTCTCTCTCTGTCTTACCGTACTTCTCTTGCTCTGTCTCTGTCTCTCTATCTTGAATTTGTTCTATATATCAATTCAGACAGTTAAGTTTGGAAAGAGGGTTTTCATTGTCTTTTGTGGGCAGTGAATTTTGTAATAGATTACCTGTTGAAGTCAGATTGACAAGGTCTAGAAATAGGTTTCGGAATTCTGTTACAAGTCATTTGTTGAACAAGTAATGAATGAAATATCAAGTCTACACATTTCATAATTCATATTTTACATTATTAGTTTGTATACTTTTAGAGGGTTAGTACAGTAGAAGGAATACATTTCATATGAAAATGATGCAGACTTTTCATCAACCTTCAACAATGTTAGCGAGTTACTTTAAGAAGGTTTATTCGATAATGTACTGATGATTTGTGCAAATCAAGATGGCGTCTAACTGTACACCATGCAAACTGAGCCGCACGCGCATATTTTCTTTACACAACTGTTTAGCCATTTTCGCGAAACAATTCCAAGAAGAGCTCTGGTGAAAGAGTCTAAATCGTCAGCGCACTATATGTGCAAGCACGTACACCCATGGAAGGGTAAATGATAGAAAGGGGAAAACAAGGATGGTACTGGAGAGGATATGGAGAAGGAAAAACAAGGAAATACACAAGGAAAGAGAAGAGAATAAGTCAAAGGAAGAACATAGAAATATATAATAGAAGAGCAATAAGGGGATCATAGATCTAGACTAAGGAAAAACAGGGACATAAAGAAGAAGAAAGGAAATAAAACAAAGAAATAGATGACGAAGGAGAAAAGGATAGATTGAAGGAGAAACAAAAGAAATACATAAAACAAAAGAGAAGAGGTTAGAGTGAAGGGGAACAAAAGAATAAAAGAAAAGAGGTTAGAGTGAAGGGGAACAAAAGAATAAAAGAAAAGAGGTTAGAGTGAAGGGGAACAAAAGAATAAAAGAAAAGAGGTTAGAGTAAAGGGGAACAAAAGAATAAAAGAACTGCAGGGGGATAGAATGTGGAAAAACAAAGAAATATATAACGAAGGAGAAAAAGGATAGATTGAAGAAAGAAAAGAAATACATGACAAAAGAGAAGAGGATAGATTGAAGGAGAACGCAGAAATAAATAGTGAAAGAGAAGAGAGGATAGATTTAACCCGAAACATATAACGAGTATGTCATGTGCAGCTCAAGCAATCCAACACTGCTAAGGGTAATGCTAGACTCTGTCTCTAGTCGTTTGCACAGTATATTTGACTGAAGTGGCTAAACAGTTGTGTACAACAAAATATGCGTGAACCGCATCTGACACCACGAATGCCTTTACAAAGCCAACTATACTTGTCCCGAATGCTTGCATCTCGTGCAAAATAGGCAAATAGAGGGAACAAATATGAACCATTGTCACAGCATGATGCAGATTAATTGATAAAAGATAAGCCCCACTGCATGCTGTAAATAGATCGACATGAAATAGGTGAATAATATTTTAGCATTACACATAAGGAGTGTATTGGCTTCATTCACAAGGCCAGTCAAAGCGAAGAGGGGTGTATGTGGGTGTGTGTGTGCGTGCGTCGAGGGTAGGAGATGCCCAGTTGATTTTACGGGGGGGGGGGGAGGATTGATTTCACGGATTTTGTTTGTATCCCCTCCACGCCCCCGCCACAGAATACTGTATCAGCATTCACTATTTCATAATAATTATGCAAAACGTCATTGATGTGTGTGTATTTAGGCCGCACGACTCAATGAATAGTATCATTATGAGCGAAAGGTAACATAATTTTCACATAAAAGTCAGTGTATTCTGCTGTTTGTGCTTTGTGAAGAGTTATGTGTAAAACTTGGTGCTATTAAACGTAATTAAAACTGTTCATTTTCTCTCTCTTAAATCCAAATCATATTTCATTATATACCCTCTCTCATTAATCATTAATATTGACTGAGAGTTAGACGTTGTAACAACGATCGCATTCTGGTGTATTTACAAAATGTTAGTCGTCAGGAATAAGTATGGATTCAATGATAACTGTTAAAAACTAAAATAATATTTGCAAGAGAAATAGTAAACAGAACAGTTAAAAAAGCCAGACCAAAAATTGCCAGAGAAACTGTTAAAAGCACTTCAGATGAAAAGTAGCAAAATATTGTATAGTTGAGAAAATATGTGATTTATATTGATAACATTGTACGTCCATTATATTTTTTCTCACAGCTTTATTTTGATTTTTGAATGTGAATACACACCTCATTAGTGACACACACACACAAAAAAAAAAAAAAAAAAAACCCTCTCTTATTGATCATTATAGTCTGGTGAGAGCCATAAGGATGTTAACTCTGTGTTAACTTGTTTTTGTGTGTGCAAAGTTACCGGTGTGTACACGTATTGAACGTGTGCGTGTGCGTGTGTGTGTGTGTGTGGGGGGGGGAGAGGGGGGGGGGGGGATAGAAGACTACCTACGGCCCGCCAAGTTATTCCAACCGTTAACTGTGACCCGCGAGCTTTAAAAGGTTGGCCACCCGTGATTTAAAGTATCAATAGTTAATAATAATAATAATAGTAATAACAAATATAATCATAATAATGATGCTATTTATTCAATAATCATCATTGCAGGTCGAGAGCTGAATTACAAATGATTTTACAACAAAATATGTTTGAACTTAATTAATTACAAACTGCGTAAAACATAAACAAAACATTTCCTCATAATAAAATGGTAGGATTATTACGTTAAAACAGACACAAAATGTGTTCATCACAAATTAGGCTTGAATGGAGGTAGAAAAGGAGAATTTCAGTTTTTAAATAATACTTATTTATGTAAACAAAGTAAATGTTGTAGATTACAAAAAATAGTTCGAGGAGGTAACATATCCTGTATTGAAAGTGTGGCGCTAAAGGCCCGGTCACACAGCCTTTCGCGTCTGTATCGCGGGTAAAATTTCGCGACTTTTTTTTGCCCGCGGTTGCCCGTGGTGGAAAATGTGCAAAATTGGCTTACCCGCGGTTTACCCGTGGTATGCCCGCGGAACAGACGCCGGCGACTGTTCCGCGTCCTTATCGCGGGTGAAGCGCGGCGGTACCGCGGCCTACCACGCTTACACGCGGTACACACGCTAATGCACGTGATAACAACGCGGTACAGACGCGGAACAAACGTGCTATGACCGTGCTCCACCCGCGATTACCCGCTAAAATTTCGCGTCCAATTCCGCGTGTAACCACGTCTTAACCGCGGCCGTAGCACGTCCTAGCACGTTCGTTCCGCGTATGTACCGCGTCTTTACCGCGTGTGTACCACGTGTACCACGTGTACCGCCCGCGATTACCCGCGGTCTAAATTTTTGGGCAGCCCAAAACTTTTTCGCGCGGCCAACCGCGTGTGAATTTCTTACCGCGTGTAACGACGGGTAAAGTACGGCTGTATCGCGTCTTTATCGCGACCTCAAAGCGTCCAACAGCGTCTGTTTCACGGGCAGAAATTTTTGGCCGTGATTCGGCCGCGATACGCCCGTGGAGGGCTGTGTGACCGGGCCTTAACAAATTGAAATCATAATACCGAACAAAGGAGCGTCAAAGGTGACCATTAGTTGTAACGCCTTGATTCATGGCAAAAAAAGGTTACATGAAAAGATTGTGTATGTTTTGCATATTTCTCTCTCTCTCTCTCCTCTTTCTTGATCTGTTTCCCTTCCCCTCTCCTTTTTTCTGCCCGCTCTCTTTCTCTTGCTCTGTCTCTGCACATATATATATATATATATATATATATATCTACTCGTTCACCCTCTTCCTCTCTCCGTCTCCCTATCCCTCTCCTGCTCTCCCTTCCTCTTCTTCTCCAGCTCTACTCCCCTGTCTCTGCCTCTCTCTCTCTCTCTTGATCTCGCTTCATTATCACTTTATTCAAGTCTCATACTCGTTCCCGCTCGTTTCATGACCGTTTAATCGATTTTTCTTTCATTTCCGTGTTTACGACATAATAATTGTCCACACCCCCATCAAAACGACCCAGATCACTTTGTTCAATTTCATGTTTGCTGTTCCTACCTTCGTATTTTGAAGTTCGAAAGAAAATTCACTCCCTCGATTGGCTGTTCTTTGATGTTTAAACTTCGCTTAAAGAAGAACTATTCGACAATGTACTGGTGATTTGTGCAAATCTAAATTGCGTCTAAATAAATATCATCCAAACTAAACCGAACCTTACACCACGAATGCCTTTACAAAGCCAACGACACTTTTCACGCATGCTTGCATGTCGCGCAAAATCGGCAAATAGAGGGACAAAATATGAACCATTGTCATTGCATGATGCAGATTTATGGGCAAAAGATAAGCCCCGCTGCACTTTGTAAAAAGATCGACATGAAATAGTTAATAATATTTCAGCATTACACATAAGGAATGTATTGGCTTCATTCACAAGGCCAGTCAAAGCGAAGAGGGGTGTATATGGGTGTGCGTGTTTGCGTGTGTGTATGTCCTCTCCTCTCTTTTGCTCTGTTTCCCTTCCCCTTTCATTATCTGCCTTTTCTCCTTCTCTGCATCTGTCTCCCCCTACTTCTCTTGCTCTGTCTATGTTTCTGCTCTCTATCTTGAATTGGTTCTATATATCAATCCAGACAGTTAAGTTTGGAAAGTTCTTTAAACGCCTGTATTATGTCTTTTTTCACATGGAAATTGGTTGGGAGAATTTACTGTTAGAGGGTGTCGCACAGTGACACCTTCAAGAAGACCATACATATCTTTGTGGTTTGAGAATTTTTTTCAGGATATTTTGCATGTTGGAGGGTTAGTACAGTAGAAGGAATATATTAAGTAACATTTCATACCAAAATGATACAAACTTTTCATCAACCTTCAACAATGTTACCGAGTTACTTTAAGAAGGACTATTAGATAATGTACTGGTGATTTGTGCAAATCAAGATGGCGTCTAACTGTAAACCATGCAAACTGAACCGCATCTGACACCATGAATGCCTTTACAAAGCCAACGATACTTGTCCCGAATGCTTGCACGTCGTGCAAAATAGGCAAATAGAGGAAACAAGTATGAACCATTGTCACTGCATGATGGAGATTAGTTTTTAAAAGATAAGCCCTACTGCATTTTGTAAATAGATCGACATGAAATAGGTGAATAATATTTCAGCATTACACATAATTAATGTATTGGCTTCATTCACAAGGCCAGTTAAATTGAAGAGGGGTTTATGTGGGTGTGTGTGTGTGTGTGTGTGCGTCGTCGAGGGTACGGGATCCCCCGTTGATTTTTACGGGGGGGGGGGAGGATTGATGATTTTTATTCCCTGTCACGCCCCCGCCACTATCAGCATCCACTATTTCATAATAATTATGCAAAACGTCATTGATGTGTGTGTACTGAGGCCGCGAGACTCACTGAATAGTACACTATCATTATGAGCGAAACGTAACATAATTTTCACATAAATGTCAATGTATTCTGCTGTTTGTGCTATGTGAAGAGTTATGTTGTAAAACTTGGTGCTATTAAACGTGATTAAAACTGTTCATTTTCTCTCTCTTAAAACCAAATCATATTTCATTATATACCCTCTCTCATTTATAATTAATATTGACTGAGAGGTAGACGTTGCAACAACGATCGCATTCTAGTGTATTTAAAAAATGTTAGTCGTCCGGATAAGTTTGGATTCAATGATAACTGTTTAAAACTAAAATAATATTTGAAAGACAAATAGTAAACAGAACAGCCAAAAAGCCAGACCAAAAGTTGCCAGAGAAACTGTTAAAAGCAATTTAGGTGAAAAGTAGCAAAATAATGTATAGTTGAGAAAATATGTGATTTCTATTGATAACATTGTACGTTAATTATATTTGTTCTCACAGCTTTATTTTGATGTTTGAATGTGAATACACACCTCATTAGTGGCACACACACACACACACACAAACAAAAACCTCTCTTATTTATCATTATAGTCTAGGAGAGCCAGATGGGTGTTAACTCTGTGTTAACGCCCTTCTGGTTCCAGACAGAATTACCGTACGTACTGTTTCTCTAGTAATTGACTCTCTCCTTCTTTCTCTCTCTCTCTCTCTTTCTCTCTCACACCCACACCCACACACACACACACACACACTCTAACTCTCTTAGCATATCTTTCTATCTTCAAATCGCATCTCTCTCTCTCTCTCTCTAACTCTTTCTCATTCTTTTTACACATCATTCTCTATTAACATCGTCTGGTGAGAGCCAGGCACATATGTCTTTATTATTGACCCCCTCTCTCTTACTCTTTTTGCACGTCTTTCTCTTTTCAACCGTCTCCTCTCTCTCCCCCCTATAGTCCCCTTTTCTTTACACCACGTTCAATGAGATGCAGCTCCAAAAATACCAGTAAAATACCATTCAACCTAATAATAATTTTTTTCGACGCTCATTTGCATAATCACGGGATGAATGGTACTATTTACAATATTGAAATTTGAATATTTTAAAATGGTATACCATTGGTATACCATTGAACTGTTTGTTGTAAGGGCAGCTTCACTAATAATTATTAATTGTTTACGATTAGATAAATAACTTGATAAAAGTTCTAAAGGTGTGTCCCTAATACTGCAATATTTCAATTTGTGTGATGAAATAGAATGATTTATAAGCTGCTTTAATTAACAATAACAGGCTGTTCATGTAAGCAAATGTATAATAATGTACATTACAGAGTCATATGAGTGGGACCACAGGCACAAAACAGCAGTTACTCACGGTAAAGAGACACATATCAGATCCAAAATTACTCCAAATTGAAGAAAAAACTAAAGATTCATCATTGTTCCTGAGGACTAGGGTATTATTCCTTGCAGTTGGTCAGCTTTGAACGTTGATCATGAAGAAAAATTCTCGAAAAATAAAGCGGAATCACAGAGCAAATTGTATGAGGGACACCTAGTTTTCTCAAAGTCACTACCAGTGAAACACCATTGACCATACAATTCCACCATTGAAACCAAATTGACCATAAAATTCCACCATTGAAACACCATTCACCATACAGACTCTACCATTGAAACACCATTCACCATACCGATTCTACCATTGAAACACCATTGACCATACACTTCCACCATTGAAACACCATTCACCATACAGACTCTACCATTGAAACACCATTCACCATACTGACTCTACCATTGAAACACCTTCCACCATACACTTCCACCATTGAAACACCATTGACCATACAATTCCAACATTGAAACACCATTCACCATACAGACTCTACAATTGGAACACCATTCACCATACAGACGCCACCATTGAAACACCATTGACCATACAATTCCACCATTGAAACACCATTCACCATACTGACTCTACCATTGAAACACCTTCCACCATACACTTCCACCATTGAAACACCATTGACCATACAATTCCAACATTGAAACACCATTCACCATACAGACTCTACAATTGGAACACCATTCACCATACAGACGCCACCATTGAAACACCATTGACCATACAATTCCACCATTGAAACACCATTCACCATACAGACTCTACCATTGAAACACCATTGACCATACAATTCCACCATTGAAACACCATTCACCATACAGACGCCACCATTGAAACACCATTGACCATACAATTCCACCATTGAAACACCATTCACCATACAGACTCTACCATTGAAACACCATTGACCATACAATTCCACCATTGAAACACCATTCACCATACAGACTCTACCATTGAAACACCATTCACCATACACTTCCATCATTGAAACACCATTCACCATACAGGCGCCACTATTGATACACCATTGACCATACAATTCCACTATTGAAACACCATTCACCATACAGACTCTACCATTGAAACACCATTCACAATCATACACCACCATTGAAACATCATTCACCATACAGAATCCACCATTGGCACACCATTGAAATACCAATTACCATTGATGCTACCATTCAAACACCATTCATTTACCATTAGGTTTTTTTTAAGGGTACCCTCCTGTCACTGCCTCTCTCTCTCTTGATCTCACTTCATTATCATTCTATTTACGTCTCTTACTCGTTTTACGCTCGTTTCATGACCGTTTAATCGATTTTTCTTTCATTTCCGTGTTTACGGAATAATAATTGTCCACACCCCATCAAAACGACCCAGATCACTTCCTACAATTCAAAGTTTACTGTTCTTACCTTCGTATTTTGAAGTTCGAAAGAAAGTTCACCCCCTCGATTGGCTGTTCTTTGATGTTTAAACTTCGCTTAAAGTAGAACTATTCGACGATGTACTGGTGATTTGTGCAAATCAAGATGGCGTCTAGGTATATATCATCCAAACTAAACCGAACCTGACACCACGAATGCCTTTACAAAGCTAACGACACTTTTCACGCATGCTTGCATGTCGCGCAAAATAGGCAAATAGAGGGACAAAATATTAAACCATTGTCACTGCACGATGCAGATTTATGGGCAAAAGATAAGCCTCGCTGAACTTTGTAAATAGATCGTTATGGAATAGGTGAATAATATGTCAGCATGACACATATGGCCCGAATCCACAAAGGAGGTTTGTGGATAAACTGGCCCGAATTCACAATGGAAGGTTAGTCGACAAACCAAGGTTTTCGTACGTCAAATGACGCGTTTTAGACCTTGGTTCAGACCTTGGTCTGAAATACATTTAACAAATTAAGGAGATTTGTCGACAAACCAAGGTTTTTGTACGTCATATGACGCGTTTTACGTTTGAGTTCAGACCTTGGTCTGAAATTACATTTCACAAAGGAGGTTTGTCCTCAGACCAAGGTGTATGTACGTCATCAGACCCGAATTTTACAGACTGCTCAGAGGGGAGGTTTGTAATTTCTCAAACCAGGTCTGAGAGGTATTAACCAATCAGGATGCAGCACTGCGTGGAGATAGTTTTCGCTCGATTAATTTTATCCAAATATTTCACCGCCAAAACAATCTGCGATTACATCTGGTCAGCCCGATTTTAGTGCAATTGAAATCTCTCTATTTCTCGATCCTTTACTTAAAATCGTAAGTATAAAACATGTACATGTAGTCGAATCCATACTCTTCACTTTATTGACATTTCAATATATGATATGCTTTATAAATTTCCATTTACCATGAAATGTTCGGTGTTTTCAAATCCGACGGCCTATTAGTTTTGTTCTCCAATCAGTCCCATGCATGAACATTTGTGCTGACTTTAAAATAGACTACGATTCTTTGAATTCGTCTCGGGAAGATTTCCTTTTCCTACAGCCACCTAAATTAAACAAAAATACGGGTACAGCTTAGAATGATATAAAGTCTATCTTAGACTTATATGATATATAAAACATGAACTAGGATTAGCCTAGATTTTAGGTGGCTGTCGCAAAAGGAAATCTTTCCATCGTCTCTTTCAAATCTTTTCCCCTTCAAATTCCAAACTTGATCCTGCCTGAAAGTTAAACAGAAAACAATGGCCATTCTGTATTTGATCTATCTCAGCAAATTCTCAACTCAAGATTGCTTGATATAGGGACAGAGCCTAGACTAGGCCGTATGTGACTGCTTGCGAGGCTGAATAATTACAATGACTCAACTTTTTGTACGGGAGTGTCAGTTTCTTCTCCTTGGCGTTTAATCATTCGCTGTACCTTCACTCCTTGAAAACTGTACATGATAAAGCATAACAGGAATGCATAATAAGTATGTGTTCATGAATATAAGTTTCACAATATTAAAGCAGCTATAGCATTCTACTAAATCAAAGGCATTGTCTGAAATCAGTGTCTAACTCCTTTTCATGTTTGCTTGTTAATCTTATATAACAAGTCAGACACTTGACAAATCTCTCTGAACTTTAGGTAGAATGTCATAGCTAACAAACAATTAAACTTACATTATCTTTATCATGTCTAATTCAGATTTAACTCGGTTTCAGCTAATAATGTGACCATATTTAGCGAGCTTGAATGACTTTATCATAGTCAAGGAACACAATAACAAAGTCATAACCTTGACTTGTCATTCACACAAATATGCTCACATTCCTCATCCGTTTTCATCATAGAATGTCTTCTTCTGCATCATACGTTTAACTTTACTATTTCTTTCAACTTTAAGCAAAACCAAAATATCAATTATAGATGTATGACATATTAAATGTTCAATAAATATCTCTGGTAAGGTAATTGTACTATCATATGTGTGGGTACACAGTTTACACATGTTATACATTTGCCATACAAATTACTGCTGCTACTGTGTAAGTTTCATACAATGTAAACAACTTAAAAACTACCTTTTTTACATTCATTTTCATAATGCTCAAATATGTGGTTTAATTTACCTCTGTGCCTCCATAATACTGTAGAAACAGCTCTCAGGGACAAAGGATGCTCCCGAAAACCACAGATTTTCCTCACAAAACAGAAATCATGTAGCAAACATGATCATTTCAAATTAGCCAACAACAGGTGGCGCCAAACCAGTTTCTGACCTTTAAACTAGAAAAACTTAAGAACAGTCATAGTAATCTTTGAACAAACGCCCTCTGTTGTTCCATTATTGCAATGTCAAGCTAAATCAATAAATACTAAATAAAATGACTTTAAATGGCAAATACAAAATTACAACTTTCACACCGTATGAATATGAATATGATGATAATTCCAGAGTTCAGGGACTGAGAGAGCTCCGAGTCGAGTCCGAGTCCAACGCCCAAGGCGGCGGGGGAGCTCGCACCCCTAAACCATGGGCTGGAGTTAGGCCTAGGGGGCCTAGGGTAGACTATATCTGAGTATGACTGTCATGTTTAATTTTGTCTTGTTGTCAACAATGCCATGACACACGCCAATTAGTGTAGACTATAGGTCTAGGCCTACACTAGTCTAGTTATTAAAAATTCATTATATGCCAATGCCAGGCTCTAGGCGTAGCAATGATGTCCATCACTTGTTTCACTGGTAAATATAAATTTAAGGGGCATCAGCAATGACAATGTTCCCCAAAATGAATGGCACTGACAAGGTAAGCTTTTAATAAATTTAGATCTGGTTCTAATTGTCTTAAATAACTGGCTTAATTGGCTTGGTCTCCAGAGCCAGGAACACCCATAAGGTCACAAGCACAAGTAACATTTCTTTATTTTAAAAACATTGTTTCATTTTATCTTCACTCCAGTAAAGATGATAGAAATGCAGCTGATTCAGCATAATGAGCTGGAGCACCTGGAGGAGAAGCTGGAGCAATATATAGCAGCACAACCGGGCAGAGGCCTCTGCTATTTGGAAAACCCGCTGGAGGATGAGCCTTTTGTCTTAGATTGAGGTACTTTGAATTCAAATTCTGTATTGGGAAAGTTACCGAAAACATGGCCAAACTACCTGACGAATATTGTTAACATAACTATAAAAAAGGCTTCTGTTGTAAAATCCAACCCTAGTCTCGTTATTAAAATGCAGAAATACTTCAATTCACGTTGACCGCCTAAATTCACTGTCCGTTTGCCCCGGCGCTCCGCTGGTCTGCCTACGACCGTGCAAGCCCCCAATGCCATGCACATGTGCGTTTACATAGACTTATTCAATTTCTAAGCATTTTCTGTCATATACCATACATTGATGGATAAGTTATGATATTTTTTTTTTCTTCACATGGTAGGTGATGAAAGCATAATTTTCATAATTTGTGTGTGGGGCATTTCCCAATACTGTTATTTGGCTTTAATACATGAGGAAATTATTCAGATTATGTCTTGGAAACAAGTTTGTGATTTGTTGTTTTGTGTACTTAAATTTTACAAAAGGTGAAGCCGTGAAAGAGATTAAAAAAGGCATGACCAATTTTGTCTTTTATGTTAAACTGATTCACACCGTCAAAAATAATAGTCTCGTTATTAAAATGCAGAAATACTTCAATTCACGTTGACCGCCTAAATTCACTGTCCGTTTGCCCCGGCGCTCCGCTGGTCTGCCTACGACCGTGCAAGCCCCCAATGCCATGCACATGTGCGTTTACATAGACTTATTCAATTTCTAAGCATTTTCTGTCATATACCATACATTGATGGATAAGTTATGATATTTTTTTTTTCTTCACATGGTAGGTGATGAAAGCATAATTTTCATAATTTGTGTGTGGGGCATTTCCCAATACTGTTATTTGGCTTTAATACATGAGGAAATTATTCAGATTATGTCTTGGAAACAAGTTTGTGATTTGTTGTTTTGTGTACTTAAATTTTACAAAAGGTGAAGCCGTGAAAGAGATTAAAAAAGGCATGACCAATTTTGTCTTTTATGTTAAACTGATTCACACCACATCTATAAATCAGGATAATTTGTTGTTTTAAGTGACAGTGACAGTTGGGGATGCAAAAATATAATAGCATAAACCAGCAAAAAATTATTTATTTGAATGCTTGTTTTTCTTCTATTTTTAAGGGTAATTCGATCTAAAGGATGCACGGTGAGAAGGCAGCATGCCGTGTCACAGTCATTTGTTTGCCAAATGCAGAGTAGTGAGGGATGTTTTCGAAGCTGTTGCCAGAAGAAAGGGACAAGTCATAAAGTTTCCTACAAGTTACAACAAGGCAAAAAGTAACTTCTATTCAAAACCAGTTTTCCCAGTACTGCAGATTTCCAGGAGTTGTGGGTGCTGTTGATGGGACACATGTTTACATCAGGAGCCCTGATGGGGCAAGAGCCAGGTACTACATCAATAGCAAGAACAGGTACTCCATCGATGTTCAGGTGAGAATAAATGAATACATCATGACTGGATCCGGCACGGCTTTCCCTTTAGGCCTTTTTTTAGGTTGCAACATTTTCACATTAAATATATACTCTCTAGTCTTGTGTGTTTTACATCCATGCTAATTCATTGGTGACCAATGCAAGATTTTTAGTGGCCAAATGGATATTAAAGTAATATTCCCTTACCGGTACTCATATCACTGCCTTTGTACACAATTAAGATTATCCAATGGATAGTTAAACTTAAAACTCTTAACACATCTGTCGTTAATATGCTTTTAACGAAAGGGAAATTGGAAAAATAAACACTTGTTCCATCCATCTATTGGCAATATGGAAATGACCTCTAGGTTTCTGATAATTTGTTGATGGCCGTTGGCAATTGGGCACTGTTTTTGCCATTGATCAATCAAAGAAAAAACACAAAGAGAAGCATGTAAATTGATCAATGGCAATTACCACTATATATGTTAAACTTTAGAAGCACAAACAGGTTCATTTTCCATACAAAGATGAGTGAGTGGGTACCCCTCCCCACCCCACAAAGCATGTGTTGTTGTTTTAGGCTCGAAATGTTTTGTTAACAGTGAGAGTATTTTTGTTTACATTGTTACAAGATAAACAATAAAAAACATGAGTTAAAAATGAAGAAATACTCCATCAGTCAATAAATATAAGGTAATAAGCATGATATTCCAATTTTTGTTGTATAAATAGATATTGAAAAGCAATTATCAAATATTGAACCTCATTTGCATTAATTACCATAAATAACAAATGAAATTGATACATTTCACGGCCAATCTGAACTAATGAATGCCAACATGTTATTTCATATTGACAGTTTGTCTGTGATCATGCTGGGAAAATAACTAGTATCGTTGCAAGGTGGCCTGGACTGGTAGCAGCCACGATACCAGGATCTTTTCTGAGTGTGCACTGAATTGACAGCTTGATGCTAGGGCAAATGAATAACAGTTGATTCTTGGAGATAGACTATAGGGTACGTAGATTATTTCATCATATGAAATTATTTATTTATTCTTTTTCTTACTCAATCTTGTTTCCTTTTTTTATATTTGGCCAACATGTGACATGTTAGGAATGTTCATTTGGTAATATAGTAACAACTGGCAAAAAGTAATTAATTCAAACGAGCTCATGTGCTTTTAAATTTCAGTTCACAGATGACAAGTAATGTTTTTGATATCTAGATGCAACTGGATTAGTTCTTGTTTAAGTGGAACCTCATAGTTTTTGTATTAGTGACACAGGATGGAATAATTCCTGATTATGTGTACATATACATTGTATCCTTTTCTATAGTATTACCCCCCCCCCCACCCACCCCCCTCGAAGCAAAAAATGAACAAGTTGTAATTAAGAATATTGTTTAAGATATTGTTCATTTTTTCCTTTCGATTTTGCAGGTATCCATGCCTTCTCTGCCTCATCAGAAGCCATTTCTTTATTCAGAGGATCGACCACAGATGTGCTTTAAAGGCCATCTGCACTAGTTCAGTCAAAGAGGATTAGACAATCCAGCGAAGTCACTGACGGGTGGCTATCTCATCGATTCAATTCTCAATTAACATAAGAAAAAGAGGATCATGGGGGACCAAAAGGCACATATTGGGGTAGTTTTCTATATAGAGGGAGCATGTAGATACAAGTAGTACAGTGGGGCTTTAAATCTTCACACACAAAAACGGGAGATGTGCGATTGAGCGCATATTTATTAAATGCAAGGATGAGGACGTTCCATGCCTCAATCAATCTAAGAGAGAAGTTCGACACTTCTTAATTATTGTTATGCTTTTCTGTTGCCCATATTGGGGAAATTCACATTGTGCAAATATAGCATTGGTTTGGCAAAGTAAAGCCTGAAACAGCTGACACTGGAGTTTACTAACAAGCATTTATTGCTTTCTTAGCTGTCAAGTAAAATAACCACCACTATCTATCTATTTAGTGAGCTATACATTATTTGATTAAGGATTCCACAAACATTTCCAATATATACGGTAATAAGTTATAAAATACAGATTTAACTCAATTGCAACTGGAATTACCTCAAAATGTATTTCAAAATACGGCCCCTCCCTGGTGTTCCCACAATACTTCGTAGTTTATGCAGCATTACATCAACAACCTGGGTGTTGAACTGTTGATTATCGATCCGTTAAAACTCTTAAGAGGTAATTCGATTTTTTTTTTGTTATGCCAAAAACTGCTGATGTAGGCACTGTCTCATCAATGTTGTTATTTTTGAGGTAATTGTGATCTCTGTTGACTTTCAAGCCCGCAAGTCACTACAAGGTAAATGACGGACATCATTTTTTTTTGGACATGTATTATAAAGTATTTGGTTTCTAGAGGTTTTAAATATTACTGATTGACTGCCTAATATCTGCTGATACAAATGTTTCAGTTAACAATACTAAAAGACTTTGTAGTGAGAAAAATAACAATTTTGTGGTGACATAAAAGATTTACCACATGGTCTGAATGTAACAGTTCAATTTAAGTGTTTTGTTTGATCCATGATATAATATAAACAAAAACAATTTTGCGATTCGATTTTCACTTTGCATAAGGTCTAAACCGTCAAATGCGTCATATGACGCACATAATCCTAGGACTGTCTACAAACCTCTTTTGGGAATTCGGGCCAATATGACCCAATTTCAAAAGTCACATTAACTTGCGCATACCTGTAAATTGTGAAACAGCACATATGCTTGAATACATTGAATATGTTTTGTGAAACAAACATGTTTGAAATTCCATCCATAAAAAAAAAGTATAATTGCACATGTGGTTAAATGTATTTATTGTGATTTTACACTGTCGCTCATATAGGAAGTATATTTTTGTTTTACCCCAATTTATGGAATTATTTTTAAAATAATTTAAAAATAATAGATCTAGATAAAAGTATACATTCTCAGATTTTATTGAATATGATTTGCAAATGTGTGTTTTGCGTGACTGCTAAAGCATGTGTATGCTTCTATGCTTATCAAATAGGGGACCTACGCCCTTAAGTCATAAATGACAGTAATGAGGATTAATGCCCCACAAAAGGGCACTAATATAGCACATCGACACGGTTTTGATCCTGAGGCCTCACAGTTACGAGGCCATTGCTTTGTTACTAAACCATGACTGTACGCAGTGGGGGCTAGGGTAGGGAGCAGTTTCCATAAATAAAAAAAAAACACAGAAAATGCAATAATTTTTCAATAATTTATTGCACTTTACCTCGGTCCCCAACATAAACAAATCCTCTGTGTGCCCATGCCTTGAGCCATAATGCATGGCCGCCACGAGGATTTAGATACGCGTACGATCCTCTCTCTCTCTCTCTCTCTCTCCCCCCCCCTTTTTTTTTTTGGGGGGGGGGGTGGGTTTGCATATGTGTGTGTTTGCATGGTTTTGCATTATGTATTTTATTGCGAAAGAGAAGAAGACGACAGAGAGAGAGAGAACAAAAAATGGGTAGAAAGAGAGAGGAGGGACGGTAACAGAAAAAGAGACAGGGAGGGAGAGAGAAAGAAAAGATGGCCATAGAGGAATTTATTTAAATTAATATTATATGGAAACTAATCATTTACCAGTCACAATTTTTATGTAAAAAAAATGGCCAGTTTGGCCATATAATTAGGGAAACAAACGGGGAACTAGTTAAAATATTAATTAATTGACCATTCTAACAAAATAACTATATAGATCTACAGTAAATAACAAGTATAAACTTAAGACTTTGAAATATGGAAAACAATATACACGACAAAACTAAAATGGCATGAATGGAGGATGTGCGACTTGCAATCAAATGAATTAATATATTAATCACAATAAAAACTTAATTCATATTAAATCAATATTATTATTAGGTGATTTTATTGACAAGAATTTGTAGCCCCCAAAACAATAAGACTCTTACAGTTAATTTAAAAGAGCCCTTGACAACCTAATATTTATTAATCTAACGAAGGTTTTGAGGTGCCGATGTCAAATTGTTCTGGGTCAGATTAAGTGCTTCACCAGCACTAAATTAGTTGAATTTTCGAAAATAATTACGATCGTGTTACACGATGTTGCCACGATATCAATTGTGTGACGTCAGTATCTAGCCAGATGAAAATCAATACAGGTTGCCCTAATTATTGTTGACCCCTCCCTACCTACCCTATCATTTCCTGATAATATATTCAAATGCGTATAGTGAAGAGGCGCTCAATTTTTACTCTCATAATTATGTCCAACACTATACCATCCGACAATGGAGGCGATAGAGCGCCATCTAATATGTAGCTCAGCAAAATTTGATAATCAATATCGTCTCTGATCATCTTTCTGTTTACGTTTCTCTATCTTTCTTGTTCTAAAGATTTGTTATATCATTTTTCATCATCCCCCCCCTCTCTCCCTCTCTTTCATTATCTTTGCAGTAACGGATGTCATCAAGGGCGTATCCATCATTATAAAAAAAAAGGAGCCGCTGCTCCGTCTAGGAGAAGATTTTTTCTCATGTTTGTAGATAATTCCACTGGTCATGAGTACCTGTAACAGACCATAAAGCTGGCTAGTGGACACTCCTTTATTTTTTCACTCAAAGACAAATTTTTTTGTTTTAAATGATATTTTATTTCCTTCCTCACAATTTCACATAACAAGAAATTCACATAACAAGAAATTATCAAGATAAGCAATATAAAACAAGATCTTTGATACAAGACATTTCATAAGTTACATCAATCAATGAACATAGAGAAAAAAAAAAGGAAAAAAAAAAATTTGCATGTAACAGTGAATAATCAAAATAACAGTAGAGGAAGGTTTAAAATTACATATTACCATCTTATCACAACACTCTCACACCCCCCCCCCCTCCCCTCTAGCCCACCCACACCACCTTTCACACACATAAACACACATACAAACACAAACACACACTGCATGCAACCTGTTCCCTCAACTCACACCACACAAACTCTTAACCCCCCCCCCTAGCCCACCCATCTCATCATACCCCCTTCACGCCGACACACACACTGCATGCAACCTGTTCCGGTTTGTCCACCTGTACACGAGAGAGAATTAATAATACTAATAATAATAATAATACCCACATCCATTAAAGTAAAAATGCATCGATTTGTTCCCATTTCTGTAAGTGCATCCCCAGTTTCCCCTTTTTGAAGGCTATTTTGTATTCCTCGTCTCTGTAATTTTTAAGCATATGTACTGTTTTCTGTACAGATGGCAAAGTTCCTTCTTTTCTAGAAATAAAAATGATATACTTTACTAAAAATATGATACAATTTATTACAAATATTCTCGCAGTATTGCCGGATATTCCCATAAAAAAGGGTTTCCAATCATCAATGTCAATTTCGATTAAATGTAACTTTTGAATTACCTCCTGCCATAATCTTTTAACTTTAAGACAATCTAAAAATAAATGTTGGTATGTCTCTACTTCTAGTCTACAAAAGGAACAAAAATGGTCTGACTCAAAACCAAATTTAAAGAGCTCTCTTTTCGTATATACAGCCCCTTGTAATTGTTTGTATTGAAACTCTCTATGTTTATTACAAAGCATTGCACATTTCATCCTTGTGAATGTTTCTTTCAACTCCGTCATTCCAAGATCAAATTGACAGTTGCCATCTGTAACATGTAATGTATACTCTTTTTGAAGGTCTTCAATGAAGTAATCATATAACCGCCTGGATTTTATATCACATAGTTTCTGTAAACGTCCAAATATCATCAATTCTATTTCAAAATTTTCAGTGTCCACTTCCATAAAATCACTTTGTATCCAATCGTTTCTAATTGCTGAAAAGATCTTTTGAATTCTAAGCAAGCTTTTAGTTTCAAAACCCAAATTTAAAAAATGTAAGATCGGTTTTAAATGACCTCTGACAATTATATCTGATGCTTGAAGTATACCTTTCTGAAATAGTTCGACATCAAAAAATGTTTTATTGCTGAGACAAATACACTTGTTGCTAAATATAATCGGATTATTCTTATTTTCTCCAAAGTGTCTGCATTTATCTAATTCTTGCCATGCCTTCAACATGTCTTTATAAAAAGATGGTATACCCTTCAAGTCCATTTTATTTATATCATAATTACAAAGAAATATAATTCGACCCCCCAGTGATCTGAAAAAGTGGTCAAAGGTTACTTTCCAACCTGAATACTTTTCTCCATATAGCAACCGTTTGATCCACATTATTCTCTGAGTCTTGATAAATATCTTAAAATTCGTTACTCTGAGTCCCCCAGCGCAATAATCTTGATATAATATTTTCCGTTTTATTCTGTCTCTCCCTCCCCAAATAAAATTAAAAGAAATCTTTTCGATTTCTTCAAAAATGTTTTGTGGGACTGTCATAAGAGACGAAACATAATTTAGTTTTGAAAATACATATATCTTCAACAATTTAATTTTGCCAAACATCGTTAAATCTCGTTGCTTCCACCAACCGATTAGTCTTTTGATTTTGCTCAAAATTTCCTTATAGTTCAAATCATCTTTTATTTTGGAATGACGTGCGAAATATACCCCTAGGATCTTTATATGTTGTACCCTATGTCCAAAAAAAGGTAAACCCGGCCTATCACTTTCCTCTCCTAACCACATAAAATTTGTCTTATCCATATTTATCTTCAACCCACTTAATTTTTCAAAGTTTTTGAAAACTTTCTTCACTTTATTAATTGAATCCATATCTTTTAAAAACAATGTAATATCATCGGCATACAAAACTTGCTTTATTTCTTTATTCCCGAATCCTACCCCTTTAATGCTCTCATCTTTCCTAATATAACGAGCTAGTAATTCGATAACTATTACAAATAAATATGGAGATAGGGGGTCACCTTGTCTTACCCCTCTATTAATTCCAAAATATCCTGTTGAGTGTCCCCCGTTCATCACGCAACTGCTAACATTAGTGTAGAGGGTTTTAACCCAAGAACACAAAACTTTACCAAACCCGAACTGTTCCAAAGCTTTAAATAAAAGTTTATGGGAAATGCAATCGAAAGCCTTTTCAAAATCTACGGCAATTAAAAAGCCTACAGGCTGATACAAGGACTGAAAGAATGTATCATCAATTAACCGAACCGCTTCCCCAATATTCCGATCTTTAACATAGCCCACCTGATCGTAATGAATAATATCCTCCAATACCTCCTTTACCCTTGTAGCTAATACTTTCGACAATATTTTATAATCTACATTTAAGAGAGTAATTGGCCTATAGTTTTTCATGTACAAAGGGTCTTTGCCTTCTTTCTCAATTAGTGTAATTACCCCCTGTCTCTGTGAGTTTGATAACATTTTTGTTTCAAAACTTTCATTAAAAGCCTCCACTATTGTTTTCCCTAAAGTGGGCCAGAACGTGAAATAAAACTCTGTCGAGAAGCCGTCATTGCCTGGTGATTTGTTCCATTTCATTTCCTTTACTGCCTGATAGCATTCTGCCAGTGTTATCTTGCCTTCACAATACTCTTTATTTTCTTTACTTAATTTTGGTAATTCATTTAAGAACATATTTTCAATATCCTCTGTAATTTCACCATTTTTACATGCATATAAATTCTCGTAAAACTCCCTGATAATCTTCAAAATCCCTTTGCCATCCCTCACAGTTTCCTTATTTTCATTATATATCTCCTTAATCACACTTTTCCTTTTATTTGACTTTAGTAATTGTTCAAAAAACGTTGAATTTTTTTCTCCTTCTTCAGACCATTCTGTCCTTGAACGGACTTTTAACCCTTGACGTGAATAGTCGAAAAGCTTCTCTAATTCCATTTTTTT